GGGACCGAGCGGGCGCTGGAAACCCGCCCCCGGAGGGACGGCGAAGGGAGCGGGGCGTTGGGTCGGCAGCAGGGCGGCCGCGGTAATTCCTGGGACGCGGAGGGCGCGCCTAAGACCGCGGGTGGGCGTCAGGGGTGCGCGCTGAGCCCAGCGCAGGTTCCCGCGGTGGGAACTCGGAACCGACCGTGCGGGTGCGGAGGCGGGTCCCGGCCGGGCGGGAATCGGGACGGAACTGGGAACCTCCTTCCGGCCCCGAAGCGTGGTCCTGACCCGGGAGCACCCGTGGGCGCGGGGTGGGCTGCGGAGGACTGTGTATGGGGGCGCCCCCGCCCCCACCTCCCTGCTCTCGGCTCACTGTCGGCCCCGCGCGAGCGAGGGCCCCCCGCCAGCCCTGTGACCCTGCGGTGGCTTCTGCGCGTAGTCGCGTCCCCGAGGCCACCGCATGGTCCGCGCTCCCTCCTCGAGAGACCCGCGCCGAGGGCTCCGTCCAGATCCCGCCCCGGGACCCTCGCCCTGGGCGGAGCCCTCCCGTCCCCGTCGGCCTTTTCCCCGGTCGGGTGTTGGGCCCCCCCCTGGAGCCGGCCGCTTGTCTCCCTACCGACCGGCGTTCTCTGCTTTAGCCCATCCGTGTCCTCTCGTCTCCTGCCCCAGCCGTCAGGGTCTCAGGACAGCTCTGCCTTCAGGACCGAGATTGATTTCTTCCTGGGTGCTTCTCTTTGAAACTTGTCTTAAAAATGTGTCTTAGAAACAGGAGCTGTGTTGAGTCTGGTGGAGAGGAGGGATGGCGTGAGAAAAAGAGCAAATACCGGTGGTTTTGACAAGCAAACGGAAAGGATTGGACCAAAAAATAGATGTGTGAGTTCAGTACAGTGTCCATTTGGCCGCCAGGGGGAGGTGTGTTCACTGGTGGGAAGAGAGGCCCGGTTGAAAGATTTAATAAACTGTGTACAGGTGTCATTGCTTTTTAAAATGGGTATTCTAACAATGTAATTTACTTTTTACAGTGTATATGTGGGGAATTACTTAATAAAAGTTTCTTTATACAAGAATATATATGCATCACAGCCGGCTCACCTAGTACATTTAAATGTACGAAAGTTATATTTTATGTGTATGTAGATTTTGTCAGGATTAAATCACTTGTATATAAAATACATTTTCTTTAGAATACTTACTTAGTATCTCTAAACTATCACGTTTGTTTAATGAGCTGATTGTATAAGTTTACTCTCAGAGAGTCCTAGTTGGGGGAAGATGTTTCAGGGAAAAAATTAGGTGTTTAAGAGTACCTCATTAAAGCATATTGTAGATTGACGCAGTATTATTAAACAATATTTTGCATTTACATGTAACTTCATTTGAATCTCATTTCATCTCAGGGAAACTCGCACAGGCAGATGTTCACACGATGGGATATAGTAGTTTCCCTTTACAGTGACCCAACCATTTCTGCAACATTTTTAAGTGAAAAATTTCAAACATTCTGAAAAGTTTGAAGAACCTAGTAATTGTATATGTTCTCTTTCGTTATGGATAACACCTTTAATTAACTTTGTCCAGGGCTAAGGCCCTGGGGGGTATAGTTATTAAATCAATCTGACAGGTTTTATAACCAAGTTCACTGTGAACTTGAAAATGTCCAAACTGCTGCTGCCTTAGGAGTTTAGTAGAATGTCCCACAATGTCTTTTTGCAGCTTTGGGGGCGGGGAGCATGGAAGACAAGTCTCCTAAGAACTTAAGATTCACAAGAAGGGCAGAGGAAGAGGAGGGAGGATGCAGGGAACTTGGCACCTGCTGCGAGCTGATACATGTCAGGGATCGTATTAGGTGTCCTTCCCTGTACCGTCTTACTTGATCCGCATGGATACTGTGAGGCATTATTATTCTCATTCTACAGATTAAGGAAACAGGCTCGGAGAAGTCGGCTAACTTGTCTACGGCTGTGAATTCATTTGAATTTCAAGCTTATGCTCTTCCCACTACCTGGACGCACCCTTTCCAGGACCTTGGCCGGGCCTAGAATAAGTGTCCTCACATGTAATACTGCGTGTGTGCATGATCCTCCCCACGCACAGTGACACTGTGGTTGTTACTGCAGGATAACAACCTGTACGTTGTAACGTTAACAAAACTCTAGACTTAGAACCACGTACTTTATGTCTAGTGTTCCCCACTAGAAAATAGGGATAATTGCTGCCCCTTTTCCCCTTCGAAGGGCCGAGGTGATAATTCGCTGGTATTAAAAACAAGAATAAACTACGACTCCCAAAATGCCCGGAGAGGCTGCCGCGGGCCCGGGAGTCACTTCCAGCTTTGGGGCAAAGGTGACCCCACCGGGTCCCTCGGCGAAGTAGGGAGCAGCGGGTTCTCGCCCCTTTCCTGACGCATCCAGGGATTGTAGTTCCCTGAAGGCCACGGGGCGTCCTTGGGGGCCGGCCTCGGACTACAAGTCCCGTGATGCCCCGGGCGCGCGCCGCGCCTGCGTGCTGAAGCCGAAGGAGCGCGCGGGCGGCACTGGCGGCGGAGGAGTAAAGATGGCGGCGCGCGGGTCTCCGCCTCCCGCTCCCGGCTGACGCGC